TTCTGGTCCAAGTATTTCAAAAAGAGGCTCTTCCACCTTTTGACTTCACATGCTTAGAATAGTGATTAGTAAACCCTTGTATCTGATCCTTCTCTATATATTCCTTGTATGGTCGAAAATAAACATTAAGGGAGTTGGGGTTTTCCCTCTCCACTTCATAAACTTGGTTACTTCAATCTGGTTACATAAATCTCTTAGTTTCTGTTTCTTAGTCTCTGGTTATTTAATCTTCAGTCTCTTAATCTCCTATTCTCTTATTCTATCATGCCATTCTCATCCCTTCATAAGTCTCTCTCATTCTCACCAATTGTTTTCTCAAGACAAGATCTCATCTCTGGCCCTTAAGGGCGAGTTCATCATTCACACAACCTGAGCTCTGAAAACTTTTAACACCAGTACAACTGACATGACTAATATTAGTAAACCTGGTACAACTTTTAAAAGTAACACTAGTACAACTGAGGGAACTAGTATTAGTGATATTGGTTATACGAAACGTAATACTAGTAAACCTGGTACAACTATGAGTAACAGTGAATAAGATTATGGGTAAAACTTGTATAACTCTTAATAGTCATTTGACAAGTCAACTTATTTTACCTAGTATAACTAGTATAACTTATAGTGACTTACATTAAATCAGTCTAACTGGTAATATTAGTATAAAGCATATTTTAGTGACAGTAGAACTAGTATAACTGATATAACTTATAAGTTGTAATGTTGGTTTTAACTCTTTTCAGGAACTATGGATGGTAGTGGAGCTGTGGTGATACATTTTGATCATGGTGAAGACCAAAATATTTCTACATTAGTGATGAAAGGAAAATATGAGGAGATAACTTATTCTCACTTGGTTGATAGAATAAGCAAGAAAATGAATATCGATGTAGCTGCGACGAAGATTCAACTGAGTTACTATCCCTTGGTCGTGAATAATAAGAGGCGTAGTTATATTTTGGAGGATGAAGATGTTTTAGGATATTTAATGGAGGTGGATAGGAAAAACCGGCGTAGTGTCTTGCATGTGGAGATTTCCAAAATCATCTCAGAAAATCAGAGTAACGAGCAGTTTTCTATGAACGAGGAAATTCAGAGTGATGCCAGAGCTAATGATGGTATGGTTGGAGTTGAGGAGTTGGAAATTATTCCTCAAAACCAATCAGATGGATATAATCATGAGGAGTTGGCAATTATTTCTCCAAGACAATCAGATAGGTATGAGCATGAGGAATGCAATGAAGAGGGTGATGAAATGGATGATATGGAGGATCTGCCGGCTGTCACACCATCTGTAGAAACAATTGTCAATGCTGAGTGGGATGATGGTATTGATATGAGTTTGTATCAAGAATTTACGAGTAAGAAAGAGTTGAGGAATTTAGTAGATGCAGGAGTGCATTCGAATTGTTTTGAGGTTAATATAATCAAGTCGAATCGTATCGTTTACGTATTGAAATGTCGTGGGGTTGGATGCAGTTGGTATTTACGAGCTGCAAGGTTGAAAAATTCGGCTTTTTTCAGTATCAGAACGTATAGAAAGATGCATACGTGTACTCGGGGAGAGGGAAGTGTAACCAAAAGGGGGAAAAGAGGAACACCAAGCTTGGTCGCATCAGTGGTGCACGAAGATTATCCAGGCCAATACAAGACTCCAGATCCAAAGTCTCTCATACAGTTGGTGAAGAACAAACTAGGTGTCACGGTTTCATATTCTACAGCTTTGAGAGGAAAACACAAAGCTGTCAGTGATTTACGTGGTAACCCTCAGGAGAGTTTTGCTAGACTTCCATCTTACTTACACATGTTAGTAGGATGAATTCTGGTACCATCACAAGATTAGTAGTGGATGAGAAGAAGCATTTTAAATATATGTTCTTTGCGCTCAAAGCTTGCATCGAAGGGTTTCAAGCAATGAGGAAAGTGATAATAATGGATGGAACTCACCTGAAGGGTGTGTATGGAGGAGTGCTTCTCATTGCTACTGCTCAGGATCCAGATCATCATCATTATCCTCTTGCTTTTGCGGTAGTAGATGGTGAGAAAAGTGCGAGCTGGGAGTGATTTTTGACTATACTGAAAACTTTGATACCAGATGATCCTCAGCTTGTTTTTTGTACTGATAGAAACCAATGCATCATCAAGAAGGTACACGAGGTGTACCCAATGGCGATCCATGGATATTGCATTTTTCACTTGTCTAATAATGTTGCCGGAGCATGCAGCAAAGTTAACAAGAAAGGGGTTGCCAAAAAGTTTAGAAAAATTGCTGGTGTGTACACAGAGGTCGAGTTCAGAAAAAGGTACAATGATTTCAGGAGAATGTTGCCTCAAGCCGCTGAGTATCTAGATGAGAGTGTTCACGAGACCAAATGGGCAAGATGTCAATTTCCGGGGGAAAGGTACAACATAGATACAACCAACACAGCTGAATCTATCAATGGTGTTTTAAAGGAACCAAGGAAATATGCGTTGTTGCCAATGCTTGATGTGATCATTGGGAAGATGATAGAATGGTTTAACAAATATCGTCATTTATCTTCACGTGTACCAGAGAGGCAGATACTAGTCCCGTACGTGCATGGGATATTGCATCACAGTTTTCCGAAGGCAAAAAAGCTCACGGTGGTAGAGCTAAACAGATATGAACGTCAGTACACTGTGATTGGCAAGAACGGTCAAAGTTATTTTGTTGACTTATGCAACGGAACATGCCAGTGCAGGTGTTTTGATATTGATCGGTATCCTTGTGTGCATGCACAGGCTGCGATCATCGCGCGTGGAGAAATGTCTGAACAATATTGTTCTAAGTATTATTATATGGAGCAGTGGACTTTGGCATATTACAAGACAATATATCCAGTGCCTCATCATTCATCATGGGAAAGTTATGAAATTCCAGAGGAAATCCAATCTCAGGTTGTCTACCCTCCGGATGTGGAAAGAAAAAAAGGAAGACTACAAGAAACTAGATTTCCATCAGCTGGAGAATATCTGAGGAAGAAAAAGAAGAAGTATCCACCATTGATGTGTGAGAATGATGGAATTGATAGCGATGAAAGTGGAAGCGATGGAAGTAGCAGGGATGGAAGTAGCAGCGATGGAAGTGGTCATGATGGAAATAGACACAATGGAAGTGGTCATGATGAATATGGACATGATGGAAGTGAGAACAATGAATGAGCTTGTGAGAACGATGAATGAGGTTTGATTATGTTTTTATGTATGTGTTATGGATGTTTTTATACGTCGTGCATGTTAAAGTGTTTGCTACTCTTTGTAATGGTTGAATTCTGAATGTGTTGCTTCTGCCAGGTACTACTTGTATAACTGGTAATACTCCTTGCATTAGACAAAGTCATGACTATTTTGATGCATATGGTATAACTAGTATATCTGGTATAAATACGACATGTCCTACTGGTATAACTAGCACAACTATTCTTTATATACCAGACTAGGAATACTGGTATAACTAGTACAAATATTCAGGTACGAAAATTCAAATATTCATTTCTGTTATCCAACTTAAAAATACATGCAAATGCTCAATTTTTTAAGTATTTAGATAGGTTCCATATGATTGGTAAGGTTTTTTTTCAATTCCAAACCTTATCTACATAAGTTTTCATGATCTACATGATACTTTTAATGTTTGTTAATTTGTTTGTCCCCATAATTTTTGGAAACCATACATGAAAAGTATTTCAACAACTACGATGACTTCATTGTGTCTGGGCAAAGATAGTAGTCACATAAAGGATTGGTACAACTAAGATAAATGCAAAATTTAGGTGGTACAACTAGTTTGATCGATTTAACTGCCAAAGTACAACTATGTACAAACATGTACATCTGGAATACTGGTACAACTACAACACTAGAACATCTACAAAACTAGTACAACTAGGCAACCGGTACAAATATGTTGCATCATGTTTTAAATGTTTTGGTGGAACATTATTCTCAAGTAGTTGTACTAGTTGTACCATTCTTCTGTATTTTGTGTGGTTTCAACGTGTTGTATTGCTAATACCTGAATATTCACATGTGCTTTTAAACTCAATACCATTTTTTTTTACAATCCAAATGAAACATAGGTTTTAACATCCAAAAGCAACATAAATTTTAACATCCAAAAGAAGCATAGGTTTTAACATCCAAAAGAAGGAAAAGAAGCATAGGTTTTAACATCCAAAAGGAACATCATAAGTTTTCAAAAGCTATTCCAAATAGCTCACTTTGGGGGATACTTTTCATAAGGAGACCTGAGTGAACGAGACGGTTTATGAGACCTCTTTGGCCTCTTATCCTCATCTTCAACCATCTCATCATCTACTACCGCTTCCTTCTCCTCCTCGCCAACATTATCCTCCTCACCAACATTATCTTCAGCAGGTAACTCAGCAGCATCAGTCTTCTCAGCAACATTTTTTTCGAATTTTTCTGCAGCTTCTGTCATAACCTCAAGTGTAGATCACAACTCCACCTCATCATCATCTACAAGTTAAAACATAAAAATTAGACAACATAAAATTTCAAGTTTAGTCTAGCTATTTTCCAACCTTACCTTCCAGCATCGTCTGAAGTTGTTCCAAAGCCTCTTTCTCAGCATCATTCTCATTAATTTTCTCAACCTCTTCCTCACTTTCTTTCTCATCATCCTTCTCAGAATTTTCCTTGGCCTCATTCTCAACAATAGCTGCCTTCTCACTATTCTTCTCAGCATCATTGTCACCGATTTTCTCAACCTCTTCCTCACTTTCTTTCTCATCATCCTTCTCAGAATTTTCCTTGGCCTCATTCTCAACAAGAGCTGCCTTCTCACTATTCTTCTCAGCATCCTTCTCACCATTTTTCTCTACCTCTTCCCCACCTTCAACCTCAGCAATATCTGTCTTCTCAGCATGTTCTTCGTCCTCTTTCTCACTTCGTTCCTCGTCATCCTTCTCAGCATGTTCTTCATTCTCAATATCTACGATAAACAAAAATTTCAAAACCAATCCAAAACAAGTAACAATTTCAAATCAAATTACCTTTTCCTGAGCCTCTTGAAGCCTCGCCAGTGTAAAAACCACCAGACTGAAATGACCAATTTCCTCGTTCTTCCAACTCCTTTACTCTTGTAGATAGAAGACGGATTGTTTCATCCCTTGAAGCAAATCCATCTTCCATTATCTTGGTCAACTTCAACTCTAATTCTTTAAGACTCGGATTCAGAGTCTCGGTTTCCTCGAACTCACTTGCTTGCTGCTGTCCCTCAAAGATCTCATGAGGCTCGGATTCTTGTTGTGTGGTGGTAGGTCGGGTTCTCACATCCATCTCGTATAGATCCTCCCAAAATATTTTTTCCCCAGGATTTATGAGGATCTTGTTCCAAGTGTCGACAGCTAGGTCTGGCTTATCATCATCATGTTGTAGCTCAATGTCTTCCCATGACCCTTCATCCATGATATCATACAGAAGGTCTGGTTCACGATCCTCTGGTGTCAAAACACTAGAAATCTCCTGAAATATAAACAAACACAAATCAGACTTTAAGTTAACTATGTAAACTTGAAGAAAATAACAGAAACAACACATAAAATCTTATACCTTCGTCTGTCCAAGAGCCTTATAAATCTCGTCCAATGCAAAACCTGTTGTCCCAGTCCTCTTGTACCTCCATTTGCACATTCTTGGGCACTGTCCGTGACTGTTTGGAACAGGGACTCTAAATCTATCCCTAAGGACAGGGATACATTCAAACGCCAATATCTGCACGTCATTTCAAACACTCGTATTAGTTATATATTATAACATATAAGCTTCTGAAAAAATCAAATAATTTACCTCCAAAGGATTGATAAACCCAGGAAATACCCACCCTGGTTCATCTGGGATCCCATCACTGAAATGATCCTTCAAGTGAAAAATCGATTTCATGCAATCATCAAACGTGAAACGGCCCCATGGAAACTCGGTGCAAAAATCAAGGTCTTCAACTACTTGGAGAAAGAAATCCTCAATGGGGTGTCCATATTTTCTCCTTCCTCTTATAACTGTGGCCAAAAAGTAAAGAACCGCCATCTTCAAACGCTCTTTACTATGATCAAACTCCATCGCCATAAGCTTATTTTCCACTTGCTTGACTGTCACTCTAAGCTTCCCGTCTCCTTCACTCTTCTTCTTCTTCTTCTTCTTCTTATCATTTTTCTTCTCCCTCGGCTTAAAATGCCGTTCAGCAAACTTCATAGACCCTACCCTCCGATAATTTTCAGGGTACATGTGGCAGTATAAACCAGATAGGAGGGCATGCTCCCTGATGGAGTATCGAATTGGAACCCCATTTACCCCAAACCAAGCCTGTTGACCCTTTTCCGTAGTCATTGTGCGGAGAAGCAACATCCACATTCCCATCACTTTTCTTGTTTTGGTACAATCCATGTGGAATAAATGCTTGAACTGAGGGTGATTCCTGAACCAATCTTTCTCTGTCTGGTCAAAATTTTCAAGCAAGTCCACAAAAAAGCGTTGGTGGCACCTTGAGGAGAGCTTGCACACCTTTCCATAATCACTCGGCTTAAAGAAGAAACTAGTGGGTCTCATTGGTTCTTCGGCAATGTTCTCCTCCCCAACCTGAAAGCAAAATATTAAATTACGTAAATAACTAAGTTTGACAACAAAATATCACTTAGTTGTACCAGTTAGACTAGTTACATTTACTGAGTTGTACCAATTAGACTAGTTATACTATACTTGAACCAAATGAGTTGTACTAGTAACACTTATAATACTTCTCTAGTTAAACCAGTTTTACTAATTAAACTTATAATATTGTTACTATTTGTACCAGTCAGACTACATATAAGTCACTTAGTTGTACCAGTTACACTTACGGAGTTGTACCAATTAGACTAGTTATACTATACTTGAACCAAATGAGTTGTACTAGTAACACTTATAATACTTCTCTAGTTAAACCAGTTTTACTAATTAAACTTTTAATATTGTTACTATTTGTACCAATCAGACTACATATAAATCACTTAATAGTACCAATTATACTACTTAAACCATATGAATTGTACTAATAATATTTATATTATACTAGTTATACTACTAATTCAGATTGATTTGTTTACCATTCTTTCATTGTCATTGTCAATCGCAGGCTGAGGTGTGGATGCATCTCTGTTGTTAGACCCTATCTCCTCATCATCCTCATCTACACGATGTGAAGGACTTCTTGTAGAAGAACCTGAAATTGAAAATGAGGTTACTGGTGGTTGCAGTGGAGTTTCAACCTCACTTGGTGGCTGAGAAGGCAAATCTGTTCCGCGTTCATGGTCCGGTGGAGATGTGGTTTCTATCTCGCGGTTCCGAGCCCGTTTGGTTGGGTTCGACGAGGATGCATCGTCATAACCTCCTCCTGGCTTCCTCTTTTTCACTGCGGCTTCATTCTTGTTTCTCGCGGCTTCACTCTTCTTCTTCTTCTTCGCCGCATCTTTCTTCTCCGTCTCTCCTTCGTTTTGTTTCTTTTCGCGAAGTCGCGTTTTTGGTGCCATGAATTTCGAATCAGATTCGAAATTAGACTTGTGTGATACAAAAGTGGAGTTGGAGAGATGATTGATTTCGAGTTTGATGATGAATCTCGAGTTCAAGAGCGATGAAGACAAATGGGAGATTGTTTTGTTTTTGGTGTCGACAGAAATCAATTGGGGATTTAGGGTTATTAGAAGTCGGGTCGGGTCGGGTTAGTGGTAAGTGATCCGATTAATGGGTGGGTCGGTAAATATATGGAACCTTTAAGATTTTGTGGTCTTTTCCACTAATTTCGATTTATTTTTAATTCTTTTTCAAAATAAAAAAAGACATGGGTCTATTATAGATTTTTGAATGGCCGTTTGGTCCATTCCAGCATTTGATCCGACTAAAATCATCTAGGCTATGACGGCCAGCTCTTTTATCAGTTTATCACTTTGGATTCTTCGTAGCTTATCACTAAGCTCTCAACAAGTCACCAATGAAAATGCCATATTGATAACTTATTATTAGCAATACGTATCATTTTCCCAGTCTATGCAACTTAACAAATAGATCAAGTTAATTCTAGATTCATAGCAGTGGCCATGATTCTATCAAATTTGTTTCTTACAAATTTCTGTGAAGTTGTCTAGTTTTCTATGTTAGTAAAATTTTTAACCTAAACCAACAAACAGTACCAACAAAAGATTCAAAGCAAGTTGCCATGATTCTCTCTCGTGAGCCACTATTTCATAATGTCATTACTGTCGACTTTGTCCATCAAGAAGCTGACACAGTGCAATAGAGAGACCTCAGCACATAAAAATCTTCGAAGATTACTGATACTTTGGCTAAATATCAAGTACCCTAATGTGGATGCTCTCTTCTTGGAAACAGTTGAGCTGCTCTTTAACTGATCATTTTCACTTAATCCTTTTGTTATTTGCACATAAATTATGTCTTTTATTTAGACAAATTTCTTTTATTTTACAAATTTGGGACCTTTGTCTATGTAAGTTTATTCAAAATAATTTGGAAGCCATATGTGAATTTCATTCGGCTTTGTCTAGGATTGGACAAAAAATTCTTGTAATTAGATAACGCTAACTATTTTTAAGCACGTGAGAAGAAGTTGAAAATAATGGCTGGCGACCATAGTGGAAAATTGCAGAAAACCCTAATTAATTTGGCGAAAGATGAAATTAAGATTACGAAAATACCCTTTATTAAAAAGTATAAGTCATATGTACATAACATGTTGTACGTACAATCACACTATGTACAACGATTCAAATGTACACATACATATCGTTATCTACTTATACAATGACTCATATGTACACCGGTGTATACTAGTATGTTATCTATATATGTATGTGTTACCTCTGTTTACTCTAGATAAATATACATCTGGTTTACATGTATGTATATGTTATCTTTGTTTCTTATAGTTAAAAATCGTAAAACATACATATATAAAAAAACTACTCATATGTGTACATATATATTAGATACCAAAATATACACATGTACATCGATGTGTACATACAAAATTACTCATGTGTACATAAACAAAATCTCATGTTGGGTTTACGTGAATTAAATAACATGAATATATATGTATATGTGTACATGATTGCATGTGTACAAACCCAACATGAGATTTTGTTTATGTACAAATAAGTAGTTTTGTCTGTACACATCGATGTACATGTGTATATTTAGAAATCTAATATCTATGTACATATGAGTATTTTTTTTGTATATGTATGTTTTACGAACTATAAGAAACAAAGATAACACATATGTACATGTAAACCAGAGGCGGAGATTAGGGTTTCTGGTCGACAATCGTGCGTATATTACATTTAAATTGTACATGTGTAGACCTAATTTTGTGTTATACATCAAAGTGAGTGCACACATTTTTGGCGTTTTTGTAGGTTTCCAACCAAAATAACTAAGTTTTTACGACTTCACGAACTCACGATAATGTTAACACAATGTATATGTGAATTGTTTTTCCTTCTTCCCATGTACATGCAGTGTCGGGGCATCCTTGAAATCTGACTGAACCCATATATCATCTTTCACACCTTGTTTAAGAGTTTCTAATTAGTGTATGTGTTGTGTGTATGTTTTCATGCTAGATTCATGGTAGGTATTAGCTTGACTCATTTCTAGTTGTTTTATATATGTACACTATCATATTTACCGTACCCATGTACAACGGTGTACTTGGATATCGGTCCAACAGTGTACAGGGGAAGATGGGTTAAGTATCATTACTTTGATGTACACAAATACCATTTACAACGGTGTACATGAATATCGTTACAACAGTGTACAAAATGATATGCTACAACAGTGTACACATCGTTAAAGTCCACAACCACTATGCAACATGTCTTTAATGAGTGACAATTTTTTAAATAACTTGTCTTCTTCCTTTTAGGTTACAAAAAACTCTGCAACTTTCAATTCAAGCCGCCATCAGTTTCTTTTCACTTAATCATCATTTTCCTTGCGGTTTTAACACAAAAACTTGCAAATCTCGTTTAGATTAACCAAAAAACAATTAAAGAAACAAGTTTTTTTTTAGATCGAGTTTTAACTAATTATAACCAATACTTTTTTGTTCATGTCCGCTAAGTGTTTATTCCTTAATTTCCGACCATCACCACCGCGTTTTTGAACACAGGCAAGAGAGTTACGACATGAATGACTTGATCTTCAGTATAGCTTCGCGATGGGGCATGAACGTGCCAGATCGAACTCATCAAAGCTTGATGGAGAGTTACTCTGGGACTCAGAAAAGAAGCATCGTTTGGTTTTAATTAGAGGAAATGAGAAGACTGCAATGAAAATAAGTTGTTCCGATGTTGCATGTCAGAGGAGAATACAAGTTCAAGCTTTTGTTAAGGAAGAAGATGGCTTACAGTGAATGGAAAAAAATAAAAGTAAAAGATCAAACAATTAAAAAATAAATTAATTAAAAAGAAACAAAAGGAGAAGTAGAAGGAAGTTAGAAGATTGTTATAGTTACGCTTAGTTAAAGAAAAATGTCTAAAGACAAATAATTGTCTTAAAGTGTAATAAGAAACTTGAAACTGTTCTAGAGTGAAAATAACTCTTTTTTAAAGAAGTGACTCGCTTATAACCAATTTTTAGTACACGCTTTGTTCGGATACCTAAAGACATTACTTTTCCACCAAGAAACTCAGTTACTCTTTAGGGAGGCTTCAAAATACAAACCACTTAGTAACCTCTGCCTTCTCAATCTCCAGCTGAGTTGACTTCATCATTAGACAACAAGAGAGGAGCACTTGCAGCCAAAACCTCTGCCTTTTCAGTCTCCAGCTAAGCTTTAAGGTCTGACCACTTCTGCTTCATTTCCTTTACTTTTCCTCAGTACTTTGGATCTTTACCTTACCAGATTTCTCTTCTGCCTTCTTCTTTTTTTTTTCACTCAAGCTTTTTCTCCAACCAATCCAACTTAAAACCCTTTACTTTTCATGTGTGCAAAGAGTAGTTTGGGTATCAGACAGATCACTATCATAGATTTTCTGAGGTGACATGCGCAATGTCTCAGTTAAGTGCTGAGTAGGGAATTCATGTATGATGTCTTCAAAAGTGGATTGTTTATATGGAACTTTGATGCAATGTATGGCTGTCTTCTAAACAAACAGTTGACAGTTTGACCTAGTAGAGCAAAGAAAACTGTGTAAAGTAAAACCATATTTATATTGTACGTTGATGCAATGTTGTGTTTTTAACACTTTAAAACTTATTTTAGAACAAAGAATGATATATTTTTAAGGTATTTTGGTTTTCTCGGTAACTCTTATTGTTTTCAATATATATTACAGGTTACATGTTAGTTTGTGAGAAAAGATTGTATTTGGAGAGGATTTTGAGGTAAAATGGATCACTGGTCGAATTAGGCTGTAATTGTGTCATGGAGCGCCCGCTCTGTGTTTCCTGCTCGTCAGATCCCTGTCATGGAGTGCCCGCTCTGTGTTTACTGGAATGCCGAATCTCTATCATGGAGCGCCCGCTCCATGTACCATCAATCACCTGACTTTGCGATCCGAGATCAACTTTCCATGCTTGTGGAGAGAGGCATTTTGAAGATTAAAAAACCTAAAAATTCGCGTTTATTTTTTACTTTTTCATCTGTTCTTGTTCTTATGGCCAGAAAGAGTTCTAGTGAGAGATTTGTAACACTTGGATCACTTTTGTAGACTTTTGGACGAAGATTCTTCTTGTACTCATTTGGAGAAGATCTTAATCCTTTCTCATTTTCAATATATTTTCATAATGTTTTCTTATCTGATTCCGTTTTGTTATTGTATGATTATGACTGAGGAATCTTTTAGTTGGATTAAGAGATTCTCATTAAGAAATTTTTCAATCTATTAATCTAGAAATTGTTAGACTAAGAATGTATATTTTGCATCTTTATCTATTAATTTTCTTAATGTGTAAAGTAAAACTATATTTTATAGCAGTCTTCGAGAGGTTTGCAATCTATATCTGCTTGCGTCATCATCACCAATGATATCATTTGCCTCTTCCATAAATATGACATCATCACCAATGCTTCCAGTCTTTCAGTTGCCTCTTCCATAAATCTGACATCATCACCAATGTTTTTTGAGTACGTTACGTGTTGAGACACTTTCGTCTCTTTTTTGACATGATAAGGCACTTCATGGTTTTTAACACAATCACCCTTCTCGCTTGGTTAACAAAAATATGAGGCTGGTTACCATTTTTTATTTAAAAATGTCATTTCTTTTGTGGGGACCAATTATGTTTTATGGAAGGAATTATTAAGGTTGTGGTTTTATAAAATTTAATATATATAAAACAAATATAAGTGTTTCAATAGATTGTAAATTTTTTTTTCTATATTTTAAGATCCACTTTCATATGTATTTTAACAAGATTATATAAAAAAGTATGGACATGAAAACTATGGACAGAAAAACTTGTTTATATATGGAAAATACATGAATATAAAAATGTGGATATGGATGGCTGAAAAAATCAAAATCAATGTATTTTTTGTCCATATTTTTTTGTATTGTAAGCTTTTTAAATTTTGATATTAAAGATCTGTTTAAGATCTAAGTAGTTTTTGTGTTATGTTAATAGTTAGGATATCTATTTAACGGTAAGTTTCCTTATTACTATTATTCCTTCCATCTAATGGTTTATTTGCTTTTTCTTAAAATTTAGAATATGTAAAAAAAATATAAGTGTTACAATAGATTGTAAATTTTTTTTCTCTATAATTTAAGATCCACTTTCATATATATATATATATATATATATTTTAACAAGATTATATAGAAAGTTATGGACATGAATAAGGTGGACAGAAAAATATGTTCATGTTCAAAAAATACATGAATATAAAAAATGTGGATATGGATGGCTGAAAAAATAAAAAACTCTTATATACAAGTTATGATAGATAGTATACATGAATTTATTTTTTGTGGACAAATTATAATAGATAATATATTGTTAAAATAAGTTAATTTTTATTAAAATTTTGTTTCATGTTAAATGAACAAAAAATCAAAATTGTTTTAGTTTTTTCACATATCATATAAATTCTTGCTTGTTTCTGATTTGAACCAAAAAAATGTTTTATAGACAAAGTTCTCAATCATGAAAAAATGTATATGAATAGAGTTAAACCACTCATTTGAGTTTATTTTAGAAAATGTAATATGTGTATTGAATAAACGTGGACACAAGATGTGGATGAAAAAAATGTGGACACGAGTTCATGTAAACACTCACATCTTTATCTCATATTTAAGAAAAAGACATATTTTAAACTAAAGCACATCCCTTAAAATCTAAAACACTAGCTAAAGTATTGATCGAAGACACTCAGATCTAGTTCAAGGATCAAAGACGCTCACATCTAGTTCAATGAAATATGGAAAGAGGTGATTTGACAGTGGATTTGAAAATTCCAGTGAGGTTCTAAGGGTTCTCGAGATGGTAAAACGGTCGCTGAATCCCGAGCTTATCCACTCTCTGAAACTCCATCGCAGCTACCCCACAACGGATCTCGAACATTCATGGCCAATCCCGAGTTCATCCACTCTAATACTCCACCTAGTAGATATATATGTTTAAGGGTTCAAATATTTTAAAGTGGAACATAGATTATTTTTCAATTTAAACAGAGATTTAAGATCTTAAGAAACACTTTTTTACAATGAAACAACTGTACAAAGGGGCAAAATACTAACCTCCAATTTTGTTTTTATATCCTCAGACGTTTTGGAACTCTTTCATTTTTTCTTTGGCTTCAATTTTGTCATGATTCGTCGCAGATAAATTTCAGAGATACAAAAGAGAAACGAAATTGGAGGAAGTGAGAGAGTGTGAATTTGGGAAAGAGAAAGGGGATCTGCGTGAGATACGAAAAAAAATACTTTGGGAAAGAGAAAGTGGATCAACATTTAACTACGGTTAGATATCTGTAGTTTAGTTAGGTGAGATAGTTATTAGTTTGAGGGCATGAAAGACAATAAACACTCATAAAGTGTCTGACCAGTATGAAGTGTCTAAATATGCAATTTATAAGACAAAAGTGTCTTAGAAAATAAAAAAAAATCATGTTTTTTTGTATATATAGTTCAAATTTATGTTTAATGAGAATAACAAGACCCAAAGTTCTCATTAGCGGTCTTCTACTTTATTTTCTCTTCCATGATTATTATTTTTTTCCAAAAAACTTGTTTTAGACACTACTTTTTCTACATTTAATAGTATAGATATTTGATCAACATTCAAACATTTAACACCAAAAAATGAAAAATAGTCTTTCTTATTATCAAAATATATTAAAACAAAAACTATGATTTTTAGCTGAAAACAAAACTAATTTTGGAAGATAAAAAAACAAATACATATATGTGAAAAAGTCTTCAGTCAACTTCAGTTTTCAAATGACATGGAGTTCTCATAATGATCATAAACAGACACAGAAAGAGAATTAGAAACAGAAAGTTTTTGGGCTTGCTTAAGCTCGGACATTGGCAGTCCTTCAATTGTAACACTTCTCATGCTTTCTTCCTCCAAATCGTAATAGAAAAGACAGAACGGATCAGAAAACTCTTTCCGGACCAGACAAACCTCGCAGGTTGAAAAGGTTTCCATGACCTTGAAGTCAAAGCCAGCAGCATATTCAGGCAAAGCAAAAGTGTTCATAGACCAAACCTCTTGCTCAGCATCTTCTACAACCCACATTCTAAAACTTCCCTCACGAGGATTCTCGACCACTCCAATTTTCCCTTTGTAGTTAATCAAAGTTTTATCCGTAAGAACCCATGGAGTAGGAAGCCACATATTCTTATAACCCATTGGTACAAGTTTGCTTGGTATTTTGATAATGTTGAACGTTTCAAGCTTAACATCAAAAGTCACAATTATAGAATCATCCGGGGCATCAGTGTCCTTCATACAGGCCCCGTAGTATATGCTTCCTTTCATATACAAACCCCTTGTAAGAACAACGTGAGGATATGCTACACACGGAACCTCTCTCCAAGTTTCTTCTCCTCCCAATACCATAATCTTGTGCTCCAACCTCCAAGGCAAATCATCAACCGCAAGCACTTTGTATTTATCTTCAACATGATCGTACCCCAACATATACTTGGGGCGTGGTAGAACTTGTGGAGTATCTTTGAAGCGGAAATAGGGAAAATTATGCACTTGCCTTTTGCTAGGGTTACAAATTCCCACGTCCTGGAAACCTGCCCCTACGCAGATCAAGCCCTGACCTGCGTTATACACCACTTTGCCTTCAGTGTTTACTAGGATCAGATCTTTGTTGGAAGAAGAAGAGTAGGAAGGTGCGTTTGGGTTAGGCGTCGAGGCTACCAGAATCTTTTCACCGTAAAAGTCAGCAAAAGTAATGAGGAGACGAGGAGGAGGTGTGATATTCAAGCGCCGGTTTCTGAAATCTCGGGAGGTGATGATGGAGGACCAAAGCTTGGAGACGCAACGAAATCTCGATAGAGATTTGAAAGGCAACCCTAAGAGTATATTGATCTGGAGATCGATCAGGAATGTAACTCCTTGTCGGATTTGGACATGAGATTGACTTTCTTCTCGTTGGGGCTCGCTTTAGCCTTTTTCTATGACCTTTTTTAGTCAAATTTGTTTTAAGGTGTATGCGTTTGAACAATTTCATTGCCTTCGTCAAGAAGTCTGTATCAAACTCTGCCTCTCAAAGAAAACCCTAGAAATAAGAAACCTTTTAAGCACCTCTTCGCAAAACCTAATTGTTTTTTTTTTAATCCCCAGTGATATATATATGTATATATATTAAATTGATCTTAAAAATAATTTTTTTTCTTTTCTGGAATAATTTTTTTTTAATAAATTCGTAGTAATGACCCATCAAATAAAAATTAAATCCCCTATATATTATTTGAGAAGCATTACAACATTCTTTGGTAGCCACGTGTCAGCATGAGAATGCTTATCAAGTTTACTAGAGAAAAATGTTGGTCCATATAAACATATAATATACTTTTTATTAGCCTAAACATAAAACTATTATTAATGCTATTCATTATTTCCTTAAATAAATTTACGGAATTACCTAATATGGTTACAATATATATATGACAATTAATGATTTGAATATGAAGATTTGATAAAAAAAATTATAGCATCTACTATTTTTGTTAAATTTAATTATAAAAATAAATTAAACAATAACATTAACTATATAACAAAAAATTAGATTTTTACATATGTTATATTTAAATTTTTTACAAACGACTATAAATTAATAAAGCATTGAAAAATTTCAATTATAATATTTTTGATTAATAGTTTAAATCTCCTATATGTTGGAGAATTACAACATTTTTTGGTAGCCACGTGTCACAATGAGAATGATTTTCATAACTCTTAGAGAAATATGTTGGTCCAACTAAACATACGTTTATTTTTGTTATACCAACTATCATATTTAATTAGTAGTGTACAAAAGAAGATTTTTTTATTATTTCCTTAAATAAAAGCTACGGAATTACCTAATATGATTAACATATATATCACAATTAATGTTTATGAATAATAAATATTTGATAACAATTTTTTATACTCTTTATGTTTTATTTAATTTATATTATTAAAAGAAATTAAAAAATCACATTAATTATATAATAAAAAATTTATATTTGTTCTTATACGTTATATTTTAAATTTTTTAAAACGACCATAAATTACTTAAGATGGTAAAAATCTCACACTGAAATTTTGTGATCAATGGTAACGATTTTAGTTCAGCCAATCGTTTTTCTAATGGGTCTTAAACAGTTCATAATGATTAACTAAATCGATAGAGTGTGTTTTGTTTAAATTTTTTGCATACCCAAAATCAATATGAACCATCATCCATTTCGTTTTAATTTTTGGTATAATAAAAAAATATATGGTTGGACAAAAAAAAACTAAATCCAAATAACCGAACCAAATCTAACCCAAAAATGAATACAAATTTTTAAATCAAGATAATCAAAACTGAATCGAAAAATTTCGGGTATCCGAGTGTACTCGAACCAGATTTATATTCTTAAATATATTAATTATTTTTAAATTTAACATCTAAGAATATACAAAACACATGAGATGTTTTAAAAAATTCTAAAATACTTAGAAATATGTAAAATAGTTAAATGCAAATTTTTAAAATAGCCAAACGATACTC